TTCTTTTTCCTCCAACAACTGCTGTAATCTCTCTTGTTTATTTTGCTGCTCGAGCTGCCATTGTTGTAGGTTTTCTTGAAATTCCTGCTGTTGTCTTTCTTCTTGTTTCTTTTCTTTTTCCTCCAACAACTGCTGTAATCTCTCTACAAATATCATTATAGATTTTTGTTTATTTGTGTATTGATTTGTGATATTATGTACTTCTTGTTTGTTTTTACAAATAATTGGTTTCATTTTTCAGTTTTGATTACAAAATTAATTTCCTTTTGATCAGAATTTATCAATAATATCTTTTTGCTTTAGTCTACTCTTCTACCAACTTAAGGTAATACAACCTCATGTCAGTAATCTTGGGTTAGAAAAAGCAGAAGATTATATATGGTATCTAGCACAGTGGAAGGAAACAAAAGACTTTCAATAGATACTATTATTATCTCTATTCAGTGTTGGCTCTCAAAATATTTATCTTATATAAAGGGAAGTACCGCTTGTTAAGTCAGTATACTTAATTAAAAATATGTATTTAAAATATCAATAAAATAAAATAAGCATATAAAAACTATTAAGACATAACCTTAGGAACACCAATAAATTCCAGAGATTGCTCAAGTATGGAATGGTTGGTCACTTCTAACTTCTTTCGAAGACAGTACTGAGTGGTACATTGCCCAAAGTCAATTTCTTCTGGGTCAAAGGTTAGATCAGTTGATGTTAGTACAGCAAGGATTGTCACATCTAATGTAACAGTCTGTAAGATGGACATAAACTAAGTAGTTAAGACACTTATAAACAAAAATAACTTATATACTGTCAATTAAGTTCAAAGCTTAATGCTTTCTCTGTTTATAACATTTTTTGAGCATTCTAAGTTACTTTTACGATACACACTGAACTAAAGTATCTTTAAGTATAAAAATAAGACACTATTCAAACATATTCTGAAATAATACACTAAAATGAAGTTCAAATCAAAACAAACCTGACCAAAAAGAGTATATATATAAATGTTACAAGAGTATTTAAATATTTAATTTAATAATGTATATATTGCAAGATAATTTATAAAAAGCACTAAAACTGCAATAAGATGCAATTTCTAATCAATTTTAAGATTGAGCTGTTGCAGTTAAAAATATCCTATTCTTTTACCAGCCAAAGTTTTGGGCAGTAAATATAACTAGACAATGAAGCCAAGTAAGAGTAGCCAACTATAGTTATAATTCACAATTTCCAGTTTCATTCCCATTTGAACTTTAGCAGTAACTTATCTTACCTCAAGAGGATTTTCATAATTTGTTTTAAATTAAGCATAGGATTGGTTACAAGTTGAAAATCTATACCAGTTCTTCTACTTGACAATGGCTATGTACCACATATGTTCAGAGACATATCAATACTGTATACAGTCAACAGCTTGTAGCTGATCTTGAGGCAAATTTGTGTTATGAACAGGTATCAAATTATCATTGCAGAAATTATTAGTACAGTTCAACTTTATATTTTGTTAGAAAAATATTAGTTGAGATTTATTTCTAACTCTATACCTTTGTTGAGAAAGAATATGTGGTGAACTACAAAGATTACCATAGGTCAAACAGTTGGTGTAAAGCTCCCACATCAAAACTACTAATTAAGGTTATGTTTAAAATATTTGTGGATTTCTCACTCAGCTGAACTCGAGTAGTATTTTGGAATGGCCTCAGAGAAGTAAGAATAATATTTGCATAACAATCTCACATAGAAGGAAAGTTGAGGGAAGTGACAAAGTTAACATTTTCCTTACCTGAATATTTATTTCAGAGAGATACTAGCTTCTTGGCACCACCTCCCACACTTCCAGGGTATTTATTAGTTCATCACATTATTTACATGCTAGTGCTCAAGGGGATTACTGTCAACGGAGAATGTATTACCCTCTTACTGGTGAAAGGCTATAGTCTAATGATGATTATATCATAGGCTGACACAATAGACAAGAAGAAAACATGACAAGTAAGTTGGAAAGTATTTAATAGTACAGCCCTGTAGCCAGCAATAAGCCTTGGTTGAATATCCAAGTGAAAAATTCTGACAGATGGGGAATAGAAGGGCAGGAAGAGGAGAAGCCACAGTGCAGAGGCCAATGACATAAAATACACCACTTCCACTGATATACAAGGATGAAGGAATAATGAATAGAACAAGAAGGAAGGTTACACTTGAAGAGAGTCCTGATCATCTTCCAAGGGACCAGACAAAACACAAGTGTGAAGACAGAGTGCAGATACAACTGGATGAGATAGGAACACGGTTGAAGCAGGAGGGATTGGGATAGAGGAAGGGGAGGAGAGGAGTGTAGATGGTTCATGAGAGGAAACCACAGCTGAGCTGGCCAATACGGTTTGATTTGTTATGAATTTCGCGCAAAGCTATACAAGGGCTATCTGTACTAGCCGTCCTTAATTTAGCAGTGCAAGACTAGAGGGAAGGCAGCTAGTCATCACCACCCACCGCCAGCTCTTGGGCTACTCTTTT